GGGACCGGAGTGCGGGACGATGTTGAGAGCGTTCTGGTTGAAGGGTGCCAGCGACAAGGATGGTGTTCGACATCGACGAGCTCTCAAGGTGCGGTCTGCTTTCTGTACGCAGAACGCTTCGCTTGCAGAACAAGTATGCGTGATTGAATCAGGTGGAGCCCTTGTTATGTATGCGCGCTGACCGTTGCTGATTGAGCTTCGGATGTTTGGTCCACCTGTGTCGGAGCTCTAAAGCCGAATCAAATTGATTTCTGTCCCGGAGGCTATCGTCCAGTCGCCATCGGCGGAGAGAATTCACGATCGATTGAATCCGATCGAGCATCCAGCTGATTCGCAATCCGTAAAATGCGCGTTTGAGCATCTTTACATACATTCAAAGGTGAATACGAAATCCAAGCTTAGCTTGCTGACAGAAACCCAAGTCGACTCTTGAACGCGGAGATACGTCGAGTGGGAAGATACGAAGAACGCGAACGCGCCTCTGAGTGAATGCGCGCCTATACGCTGCTAATGCTCTATATCACCAGGGCAAGGGGGCCGGCACTTCAGCCCATCATATCTCATCCAAGATTCAAAGACTGCTGGCTGGCTGACGACCCCGCCGCGGTCATTTGTTCTGATGACTCATTCGCGTGATCGATCGTGATGATCGTGTGGGCCGGCTTCACGTTGCCGCAGGTATGCAAACCAAAACCTGCCCTTCCTTTCCGCGATCGTTTACCGGTAATCCTCTTCATGCACACGCAGCAGTCGTGGCTTGCTGCATGTCATTCTCTCCATTGAATTCAGCCGGCCATGACGGGCCCCCCCACGGCAAATCTTGGCTCACCTCCACTCTTGACTCGATCGATTATGACCGTGACTCGTCGTGGCCCGGGCCGAGCAAGCAATTAAGCGCTCGAATTGCAAGCTATATGCTGGCTGCTGATGCAAGGCCGTGTGGTGGGTGCATGCACACGCGCAACCACGCGAGACTTGTCCCGATCTACATGCGTACTGGTCGGTATGCTCGAGAACAATCAAAAGAATCGTCAATCACAATGCAGCAACAATG